CACACAGTCCTTTCTCATTGAAGCCCACGACCATTCTCCTAGAGCAGGACTTGGAACCAAGCACCTCACATGCCCCAGGGTTCACCTTTCCCCTTCACATCTTGACTTGACCCTTATGGCCCTTGGTGGCCAACACCCAGAAATACCACCTGCAGGAGCGGATGAGTTGGTATTCCTTCGCGTTAGCTCACTGCCCTCAGACGGCCCCTCTGGGAGAGGGCAGGGAGGGCATGCCACCTGCTCTGCCCCTGAGGTTTGGAGGCACAGAGGATACCACAGGTGCTCCAATGGGTGGGGCCGGTGCCCTCTCCCTGCCCCAGCCTGCCACCCTGGTCCCTGTGTCACTGTTGCTTTGTCTGTCAGGGAAGCTAGAATGGGCCAACCTTAGACCCTGCCATTCCTGGGGTCTCTTCCTGTCCAGGACGCTGTTAGATGATGGGGAGGGGACTGTCCCACAGTGCTGTGTTTCATAGCACACACAACCAGGAATGCCACAAGAGCATTTCCAAAATGGTAGCCTTGCCTCCTGAAATAACAGACAGCAGGCTTGATCTGTTCCGAACTAGGGGCTTCGTTTCTGTCTTCTCCTTCCTCGCTCCCTCCTCTCTCCCTTTGCATTCTTCCCTCTCTTTCCCCACTCATTCTCTTCCTTCTTTCAGCCACTGTTTGCAGATCCCTCGGCCTGTGCCAGGCCCGGTGCTGGGTCCTCATGATACTGAAAACAATAAAGCTCAGGTCTCCCCATCCGGTTACCACGGCTGGCAGGAAAGAGTGTGGCGGAAGCAACGATTCTGATTTACTACAAGGCAGAATGAAGCAAGGGGGAGTCAGACTGCTGTCTTGGCAGCCGTGCTTCACCGAGACCTCTCTGTGCCTCCCTTGATATCGTTTGAGCTTCGCAGCAACCATGGGCAAAGATTATTGCATACCCACTTAACAGCTGAGAAAACGGACATCCCGTGCTGCAGGGGGGCTGACACTCTGTCCTCACGCTCAGGCCCCGTCAGCAACAGCCATAGAAGGTCAAAAGAGGAGCCAGGTTATGTGCTTCGTGGAGGGGCTACTCCGAGAGCTTCACAGAGGAAGCAGCATCTGAATTGCCCTTGGATTTCGCTGGGCTTGTAAGTCTGGAAACAGTGGCCAGTAACAGGCACTGGGTGGTCACTCACTCTGTGCCAGGTTCCTGATTCTGCTCCGCCAGGAAATGTTTGCTCCTATCAGCCATCTGGGTCCCACAGGTATAGCCCAGTGACCCCAAGGCAGGAGAGCCTAGGCTGGGGGCCCAGTGGCCCAGGTTCCAGCTCTGCTGTATGTTCGGGGACATTCACTGCCCATCTCACAGACTTTCTGTCCCTGTAAGATACATAAACAAGATGGGCCGCAGGGAGGGGTCCAACCCTGACCTTCTGTGGTTCCACCAGCCGCAGAGGCTGCTTATGGCCTCCAGAAGCCAGTGTTGTCCCTGAGGGGAGGTGAACTCGATGCAGCTGACAGAGGAGCTGATTAGAGCATAGGAAGCCCCCAGGCCACGCAGTAGCAGCCATCCTTGGAGTGGTAGCTAGGGTCATTTTGAAAGTGATGGTGATGTTCCCATGACCACCTTTCTCAGGCAGGAGGTACCCCAGCAGCACTCAGACTGAACAGACTCCAGCCTGACCGCAGCCTCACCACGCAGCTGGTAAGCCTGGCTCCTGCGGGCCTGCCTGCTGGGAGAGCTGAAAGGGCCCATCTCCGGCAACCCTTTTTTTTTTTTTTTTAAAGACAGAGTCTCACTCTGCCACCCAGGCTGGAGTGCAATGGCTCGATCTCAGCTCACTGCAGCCTCCGCCTCCTGGGTTCAAGCAATTCTCCTGCCTCAGCCTCCCAAGTAGCTGGGATTACAGGCATGTGCCACTACACCTGGCTAATTTTTGTATTTTTAATAGAGACAGGGTTTCACCACGCCGGCCAGTCTAGTCTCGAACTCCTGACCTCAAGTGATCTTCCCGCCTTGCCCTCCCAAAGTTCTGGGATTACAGGAGTGAGCCGTCACTCCCAGCCCACATGTAATGTTTTTTATCTTGGTTTTAAATAAGTGCTTCTGAATTCAATCAAAAAAAAAAAAAAAAAAGGTAAATGTAAATTTCTGTCTGTAATACCTAGCCTGGCCAATCTTGATAGCTGTAATACATAAGCATGTCCACCGTAGCTATTTGGGCTCCTTTATAATTTGTGACTGCCTAGAGGTCCTGAAGTCAGTTCCACTAATAATCACTGGCCCGTCCCTTGCTCTTCGTCGCAGAGCCAGTGGGGGCCCCGGTGCCGAGGATACCAGGTGAGGGGCAGCGTGCAGCAAGCCTGCCGTGGAGTGTTGAGTGAGGGCAGCTAATCAGGACCTTAGCTCCCCCTCGGGGTCTTTAGGTGGGAGACGGAGGGCTCTACCTCTTCCCCAAGTTGTTGAGAGGTAAAGTGGAGGCCTTTGAGACCAGCTGACTACAGACAGGGCCTGGGGCTCACCCTTCAGCTCTGCCGTTCTGGTGCTCAGCATCTTATGGACTGTGGATTACTGCAGTCCACAGTCATGTGATATTACATCCCCAAAGCATCCTTTGCCAAGAAAACAACAACAGCTCAGTGGTAAAGTCCAGAGTCTCAAAAAGAAAGATCACTTGATGGCAAGTTCACGATGAGGGAGAAGACGGAATGGCCCCTAAAGCTTCATATTCCGTTACCCAGGGTTCAGGTATCCATCAGCTCCCCAGTGACAAATTTATGGTTGGTGATGATTAGCAGGCTTCTTGTAAATTGTGATTCTTTGGCTGGGAATGGAAATTCAATCTCCCTTTCTTCATCGTATATAATAAGCCTGAGCCAAGCAAGGGCCCTTGGGCTCTTCCCAGCTTAGGAAGAAAGCACAGATCAGCTTACAGCATTGTCTCCGGTGCCAGCCATAGGACAGCCTGGGAAGTTAACGTGGGTGGCGGCATCTGGGGGAGGCAGGGAGTGTAAGGCAGGAGTCAGGAGGTTTTGTGGAATTGGAGGAGTTTGAGGCAGGCCTAGGATTTCCTTTATGGAAGACAGGAGAGCCTGTCTGGCCAGGAGGAAGGAGCAGCAAGGGGAGATGGGGCACCCTTGGGGGCTGCTCTGCGGGCGTCGTGGGATGGCAGACAGTGGGGCATGTGTGGCTGGGAGAAGCTGGAACAGCAGGGAGCTGTGGAAGCCAAATGAGCAGGGAGTGAGTGGGGCGACCCTGGGCTCCTGGGCTAAGTCACCGTTGACAATAGCCATCAGTAATGCTCAAGGAGATGGCTTGGTGACCACCAGCCACTGGCCAAACCCTTGCCAGGGCAGGAGGCTCCCAGATGGCCCGATGAGGACAGAATATGTCTCCACAGGCTGAGAAGGTTTCTCTACTGAGAGCCGCCTCTCAGGAGGGGCCGCCTGGTCCAGCCAGGCTGCAGGGAGGGGCCACGCAGTCTCCAGACCTGCAGGAGAAGCACCAGCCTCGGAAGCCGGCGCCCCACAGGCAGACCTAGTCTCCCGTTGCCTGCCATTTCCTGTCTGTAGCTGTATTTAATTTGCACACCTCCTCCATGAGACAGAGTGTTCGTGCCCATTCTAAGATGAGGCTCAGAAAAGTGAAGGGGCTGTTTCCGAGGCCACAGCCAGTAAGGAGGCCAGATTCACAGCTCTATCCGCCTGCCTTTACAGCCAGCTTTCTAAGTCAATGACGCACTGTGGCTGGCTTGGCTCATGAGAGCCAACTGTGCACACTGATCCCCAGCTCTACCCTCGGCCGCGTCTCCCTGGTACCTTGAAATTAGCCATGGCTGGCGTATTTATCCCACAGAAATTGGTAAATACTGCATACCAGCCTCCACCCCCTCACGGGTTGTTAAGCGTTGGCCGCACACCACTGTCTGTGCGATTCGGGCGCCGATGCTCTTTTGGAGTCGAGCCAGCGGAAGGGGCCTCCCGGTGTGAACTTGCAGCTTCTGTGAGGGGGTTTCCGTGTTCACTCGTTGCTTGGTTAGACTCTGCATCATTCCAACCATTCGACTGATTAGTGAGAAAATCGAGGTGAGGAAATGGGGGTCACAGAATCAGGTGAAAGCAGGCGTTACAGTGCTGGGCAAAATGCAGGCTCCATCATTTCCATGTGTGTGTCAGATTTTTAACGTTAGATGTTCTTATCTTTATTACAACTAGTAGGGTGTGTGTGTGTTTTTAAATATATTCCTACATACCGATATTTGCTACATTCCCGAGTTGCTACATACCCATATTTAAAGTAGATGGGGTCAGGATTGAGCCAGGCCTCCCTGGAACTAGAGGCTGGCGTGTCCCGGGGGTACGAGGTTGCCCATTCGCGTTCGCCGTCTGCAGCCTTCACTGCCGGCTTCACTCCTGCCTGAGCTTCTTGTGGGTGGAGGTGGAAGGCAGGTCACAAAGCCAGTGGCTTGGCAGACAGAGGCTCTTCCCTTTCATCTGCCTTGGCCTCTTGATGGACTCGTGACCTACAACCTCTCACTTGACCCCTGACCTCATAAATTCTGGAAACGCCTCACAAATCACCAGGAAGATAAACATCAACTGAGGTCAGCAGAAGGGGGTATGCGCCACTCCAGGCAGACCGAGAGGGGACATCCAGTCTCCTGGGCGGGTGGAAGAAACCCTAGAACCATGGGTGGCTCAGGAGAGGGGGCCAAACCACCCTGACACAGAAGCAGTCCTCCAGACCACGCCCCGCAATCTGACCTAGAGAAGAGGCTTGCGTCTGTGGCCACGAGGTGCCATTTGCAGTGCTGCCTGAACCTAGACCCAGGCAGCTTGCCCTTGGTTCCTCTTTAAAGGACATCCATGTGGCTGCCTGCTCCACACACGCATGTGTGTGTGTATGATACGTGCAGTGCCAGCCCATTTGCTTGTTACGTCTCATTGGCTATCTCCTTTCAGCTGAAATTTTCTCTCTCCTTCTCTGCCCTGTCCCCAACCCGTCTCTTGTCTGTCTCTCTTCCCAGAGGGTATGAACTGCATGAATAAAGACCATGGATGTGCCCACATCTGCCGGGAGACGCCCAAAGGTGGGGTGGCTTGCGACTGCAGGCCCGGCTTTGACCTTGCCCAAAACCAGAAGGACTGCACACGTAGGTAGATGGAGACAAATGGGTCAGACGTCCCATGCGCCTCCTGCCATTGCTTTCTGGAGGGTCTGTCCAGCCTGCTGGACATTGGCCAGGGAGGGCCCCCAGCCCCATGGGGTGGAGAGAAGGGCAGGGCCTGCTGAAGGGGCCTGATGGGGGCATGAGGGACAAGGGTTGTAAGCCTCAGGCTCAGGGCTTTCCTCAGCAAGCATGACACCACCAGTGTAGCCGCAGGAGCTGGGCTGGGTCTGCGTCAGCCCCTAAGCCTAAGTTCTCCAGCGGGAATGGTGGGGCCATGGCACCAAGGTCTAAAAGACTAGGTTTCTCGATGGGCCTGGGAAGCCCCTGGTAATGAGCAGTAGAAAGAAGGAAAAGAGGATGGTTCTGAAGGGTCCGGTTCTGGGCTGTGCTGACCATATTTCCTGGACCAAAGAGCAGAACTCTGCATGCCCATAGTGCCAGCCGGTTGGGAGGCAGAAGCCAGAGGATCACTCCAGCCCAACTTTGAGTCCAGCTTGGACTACATAGCAAGACCCCATCTCTAAAATAAAATTTAAAGATCAGAACTCACAGTGTGACCTCTGCAAGGCCGGCTGCCAGTGGTGATACCCTGGGAGAGGAGATTGGGGCTGAAGGAGGCCTCTGCCCAAAGACGCCATTTCAGGATCTGCCTGCGGGCGCATGCATAGTTCAGCCTCTTCACGGGGTCCCCAGTAGGAGTAGGAGCCCGGAAACCAGGTAGAACAGCAGCTGAACTCAGAAGCTTGGGAGCCAGCGCATCCTGCCACGGCTACACGGGGAGACGGCGGGTTGGGCCTCTCCTTGTGGGAAATGAGGGCATCATGGATACCCAAAGTGATGTCACATGTGCCCTGTTTTTACAAAGAGCCAAACGAGACTGCTGGAAGCACTTTCCACCTCTGGCTGGAGACAAGTGCATCTCAAGCCCACTTTCTAACAGAAAGATGTTATGGCAAAGTCCAGTTCCAACCCCCAGTAGAGCGGGGTCCCCTCCCCGGCTGTGGAAGTGAGAGACTGGGCTGCCTGCCGTCATAACGAAAATGGCCTTCCACCATCGTTCTGTGGAGAGGACAGCTGTCCTTGCTGGTCCGTCGCCCGCAGTCCCTTATCCTCTCCATTGTCATCAGCTCCCCTCCGGCTGCCTGGCCACACCTTTCCTGACTCATGCCCTCCTAGAACATACCACCATTCTCTGTGTTTGTGGCTCTTTCCTGTAGGGTAGCCAAGGTAATCCTGTATACTGTCACCCAGGGCAGGACGAAACAGCGGCAGTCTCCACTGGAACTGCTAGCCTCCAGCCCCAGGGCTCCAGCCAGGGCCCCTCTCCACACCAGATGGATTCCTTTATCTGCCGAGAAGCCTTCTGGCCCCCAGCCGCCTCAGAACAGAAGATGCTGACTCCAGCTTTCCCAGTCTCCGCTGTTGTGTGATCTGAGTTTCCTACAAGAAAGGCCAAGGTCAAGAACGTATGGAGTCGGCAGGCTTGTGGATAGCCCTGGCCAGAAGGACACTGCCTTCCCTCAGTCAGAAGACAGGCCGAGCACCTGCTCAAACCGGGCTCCCAGCCCAGTGCCACGGAGAGGCTACAGGTGGCCTGGCTGGGGCCAGCTTGCTCCCTGATCCCATAGTACATCTGAGACAAGCACCACCAGGAGGAGTTTGCTCAGAGAGCATCTTCTGGGTGCCGGCCTGTTGTGAAAGGTCAGGGACTAGGCAGGGCCCTGTGAGCAGCTGGGACGCCCCCCACAACCCTCAGCTACCCCTGCCAGGGAAGGGCTCTGCCCTTGCTTGGAATATGTGCTGGTTTAAGAAACAGCAGTCCCACCCTCTCCGTGGGTGGCTGAACATCACCGAGGTATGGAGAGCCTGATGTGATCTCTGGGGCCTGAGGCCTCCCGTGAAAGACCCGCACAGGCAGCTGCCCAGCCAGCCCAGCCTTGGCTGCTTCTGTGAGGTTAGCAAGCCAAGGCTGCTGTGAAGTAAGCTCTGAGACTTTCACTCTAGTCCTTGAAGTCACTTGAGTTCCAGGAAATTCGAGATCGCAAGCTGGGTTGGGGGCTGAGGCCTGGCTTACCCAGCCAGCCTCTAGCTCAAAAGGACTGCAATGTTCTGAACCAGGCTGTCATCTGTCCAGAGCCCAGGACCTACTCCAGGGCCAGGCCAGAGGAGGTTTTCTCCGCCCTCTGTCCATCTCACAGAGCTTGAGCTCAGACGTTTCTGCGTAAAAGCCGTACGTTCTCCGGTACTCGAAGGCTCGACCCTTGCGGGTCTGTGAGACGCACAAATGCCTGTGTGTAGGGAACCGGGACCCCTGAGCCTGGACCTCCCTCAAGTTGCCTCAGACAGGCATCTATTCTCATTAGAGTCACTTTTAGGGCACAGCCTGTCTCCAGGAGCCTGGAGCTCAAGAAGGACTGCCCTCTCCTCAGCTACACCCCTGCCCACTCTGAAGCAGGAATCTCCTGGGTCCTAGAAAGGCACACGACGTCCAGCCCAAAGTGGGGCTCCACCTGGGTCTCTTCCCATCGCCTGAGATCTGTGCAGACCTGCAGCCTCCCGGAACCCCTGGCTTCCCTGGGTTCCTTCCTGGCCATTGAGATGAGCTACGGAGAGATGAAAGCCAAGCTCCATCCAGGGTGCCACTTCCACCCTGGAGAAGAGTCATTCCTGAGGAGACGGGGCTGGAAGGCTTTGTGCTTGAAACCCAGCTGTGTTCCTGGAAGCATTCCTGAAATTTCACCCTAGAAGTCCGCTCCCTCCTCTGTAGGATCCGCAGCTCCCTGTGGAAGAGGGAGCAGCCCCTTCGAGCCCCTGGCTGCAGAGCGCAGTGTCTGAGGCACTGACACCTGTCCCCACCAAGCCATCTTCTGGACATCCTCCTCACTTGCTGTGAAGGTAGCATGTGTCCGAGGCTGAGGCGCCACCGTCACAGGACAGGGAACGCTCTGCGTCGTTCTCTGTGAAAGGAGGAGCGTGGGGAAGCGCAGGTGCAGAGTCAGTTCTGAAACGTCTGAGATCCTCCCCTGGGAGTCACCACCAAGTCACTTCCCTTTGGCACCAGCTGTGCTCATGGGTCAACCTGACAGAACACAATTCATTCAAATTCTCAGAATTTGGGATTTTTGGCCCCTCTAACCATGGTTGGTCTGAGGTTTATTTTTGCATATTTGGTCTTTAGGGTTTTACCAAATAAAGAAAGAGTGGAGCTTAGATCGATGGTTGAAGTACCTAGGAACCCACCCCATGCTGAGGCCCTGGTGCTCATTTGCTTTCGGGTGATGGCCTTGCAGCTGTCTCGCAGCATCACAAGGCGGGCGGGGGGCCCTACATCCCCTGGGGAGCACTGGCGTCACTGCTCCCCTCTAGCGATCTCTCTCACCCTGGAAGTGGACCGTGTGTTTAAATAAACTTGAATTGATAATTTTTCCAACTTCAGACTCCTTTTTGTTCTGCCCCCTTTTCAGCCTGGAACCCAGCTTGTTGATGATGTGAACCATCTTGGCCACAGGCACTGAAAGCAATGTAATACTGTTATTATTTAGGCAATTTTCAAAACTGTACCCCAGATGACATTAATTGGCATGAGTCTGTCTGTTCCAACATTGTTGAGCTCCAGGAGGATTAGGGCTTTCAGGGGAGAGGGTTTGAGGTGGCCCCTGGGGATCTGAGAGGGCGGACGTCCAAGGAGACATCCACACGCCCCAAAACAGGCAGAGGAAAGAAAGCCCTGCAAGAACTAAGGACATGAGGGTCACCTGGAACCACAGGCCTCCATCTCCCTCCCCCTTGACAAGTATGTCCTGGCATTGACAGACATTTGCCCCATCGAGATAGGCAGCTGTAAAGTGTCCTGCAGCCTGGGAAGGATGAAGCTGTCTTCATCTACCACCGCCTGAGCACATCAGCTCTGTGCCCGCTCTGATCCGAGCCCAGACCATTCTCTGTCCCACCCCAGTTCAGCTCCAGGGAGTGAGGGATTCCATAGAAGATTCTGGAGGGGCCGAAGTGCAGGGAGATGCGTATCTGTTGCCCCGCAAGCCTCATGACCCTACCCACTGATGGCTTTAGGCCTCAGTTTCCCCATACCCTGAAGGAAACAGCCAACACCAACAACTAATCATTTTTGTTGTTCTGTTTATACACACGTGTGTACACTTTGGGCCTAACTAGTAACCTGTAACTATGGAAACGGAGGCTGCCAGCACAGCTGTGAGGACACAGACACGGGCCCCATGTGTGGCTGCCACCAGAAGTACGCCCTCCATTCAGACGGTCGCACGTGCATCGGTAAGTAGGCACCTCCGCCGCACACCACCCTTGCACCCCCCACCCACCCTGTGTGCACCAGCGGGGCCAGCACCCTGCCACGTCCGGGATCCCCGGAAAGGAAGCTTCAGGGAAACAAGGAAAGGCAAGCCCGTGGCAATGGTGGGGATGGCCGATGCCCCTGGGGAAGTTTTCTGGGGAGGCTTCTCTGGGGCCTGCAGCCCCCCAGGACCAGGCTCCTCTGCTTCATGTTCCCTGGCGATGCCTAATGCAGGCTCCCTAGCAGCGGGGGTCCTGCATGTCTTCGTCCTGGAAGTGAGGGGTGGCCCTGGGCAGGGGGTTTCGGGGAGAAGGAAGGTGTACACACCTCTAAGAGCTTCTGCTCCAGAAGCACAGGGGTTTCCTCCCCTAATACGGAAAACAGCCAGATTCAGGTAACTGCACACAGTCACGGTAGTCATGGGAGCCGCCCACGGCTGGAAAACCAAGAGGTTTCCTCAGAACTTCGCTTTGAGTGGTCATTGTCTAAACTCCAGGGGAGACGGGCAGTGTGGGCCCGCATGGGTATGGTGTTTTAACTGCTGGTCTCTCGAGCTGCCAGGCCCCTGCTGGCCTTCCTCCCCCACCCGAAGTCCGCTCTTCTCAGCGCTGCCCGGCCATCCCCTCACCTGTCACATGGAGTCTTGATCTGAGTCTCTGCCACCTTCTTCCTCCTGGTCCCTCTTTCCAAGGGGAAGATTGAGTATTTGTGATTATTTCATGCCATAATCACTAGTAGGTTTTTTTTTCTCCCACTTAAAAATAACGGCACATTTTTTAACTGAGAAAGAGTAGCATTCAGAGCTGGCGCCCAGAGTTCCACCCTTCCTGTGTTGGCACGCTTTAGAAACCCAACACAAGTTCGCTCTTTTTTTTTTTAAGCCCTATTTCTTGCTGTCAGTCTGGAAGACGCTTCTCGAGGGAGTCTCAGGGGACAGGGAAAGGTTGGTCAGCAAACAGAAGCCCGTGAGGCCAGGGCATGTCCCTGCCCTGTCTCCCAGGACACTGCCCCCGCGAGTCTCAGGGAGCGGGGCCCGGGCAGGTGCCAGGCTGTCACCTCTGTAGTCCGGGGCTGTCATCACGGGTTCTGCTGCCTGCGGTGGCTCTCCCTTCCTCTGTGTGGTCTCTTCTTTCAGACAACCATTTTTTATTTCATTTTTATCTCATTGCTCCTGCTTTTCTGGTGATGGTCCCTGATTGCCTGTCTTGTCTGATAACTGACGTTCATTAATTATTTTCAGAGCCAAAAGCCAAACCAAACCAACCAACCAATTAAAACCAAAATTAAAAGCCAAACCCGCTCTCAGACCAGTGTCTCTATTGCAGCCTGATCCCATCTAGAACCTCCTCTCCTCCGGCCTCTCTCCCTCCACTGTCCGGCCTGGGGCTCTCCCGGGCTCCCCCAGGCTCCCTCCTGTCTCGTCTGCTAGAGGTCTCCCGCACGGTTTGCCGTCTCTGCTGGAGCAGGCGCAAACGGCTGCCGGGCCAGATACACCCAGCCTTCGTCTAACGCATCTTGTCTTGTCCACCTGAATCATCCTTTCTTGCTTTTTTTATTTTTCAATGTCTACTGCATGTGAAGGCCCCTGCTTGGATCTCCTTTCTAAAGTAACTTCCCCAGCCCCGCCTTCTGTCCCGCCTCGGTAGAAGTCAACTTCCTTACCCAGCCCCTGCTGCTGCTGCTGCTGCTTCCACTCCTGTTGGGGAAGAGATGCCTTTCACCTGACTTTGCCCACTGTTCATCCATGTCCCCGCTTGGGAACCAATGTCTCCACACGTTTCCCTCTGAGCAAAGAAAGTCAGCCCAGCTAACCTCACCTGCTCCTCCACCGGAAGCCTCGTGGCACAGCCAAGATGCTCCCCGGCCCGCCCCGGGCCACTGCTCCCCGCACACTCCTAAAATCAGTGTTCCCTCTTTGTATCCCCTTGTTGAGCACTTGAATGTTTAGCCCTAGTCCTCTATAGACAAGCAGGCAACCAGCGCTGCCCAAATCGATCCCGTGGTTTTTCTGTGTCTATTCTATTGGATTCATTGTGTGTATGTGTGTCTATTTTGTTCTTAATTTTGCATGACTGTTGACACAGCTTCATGTCCCTGTGACAGAGCCTCTGCTGTCTCAGGGGCATCCATCACCGGACCTTGTGGCCCTGTCCCCTTGTCCTGTGCCTTGTCCTATGCCTGCTTCTCCAGCCTGAGCCACGGGGGTCCGTAATCTGCTTGTGTCTCCATGAAGCACCACGGTGTGCTTTCTGCTTCTGTGGCTCTCTGCAGATAATTCCTGTCTGCCCTAACCTCAGCTTCCTCCTCTGTTTGCTTACCTGTGGGCCCTGAGTCCCCTCTATGTCCTAGGTCACTTTGTGATCATTACTCCTTTCCTGCACGTCCCCCCACCCCCACCGCCTCTCTGCTTTGCCCTGAACACCCCCACCTTGGAGGTTCCTGGGATTAGCCCCTTGGCGAGGATGCCGAGCTGGCCGGCGTGCTGTGTTGGCTTTGCGTGCACCACGCCGAGAGGCTGACTGTCTTGGGCCGCGGGAAGTGGGCTGTCATTAACCACTGGCTCCGTGTTTGTCCCTTACTTGTGTTTTAGAGAAGGATGAGGCTGCAATTGAGCGCTCTCAGTTCAATGCCACGTCAGTAGCTGATGTGGACAAGCGGGTGAAACGGCGGCTACTCATGGGTAACACTTTTCTTCCACTTCCTTTGTCGTACTTGCACTTGTGTGTGCGTGCGTGCACGTGTGTGTCTCGGGTGTGCACTGGCATGTGGATACGAGAGTGTGTGTGCTGTGTGTGGGTGTGGCTAGTGCGTGTGGGGGCATATGTCTGTTGTGGGGTGTGCCCACGTGTGTGCGGTCCTTCGTGCTGTGTGAGTGTGGGGGGCTCCACTCCAGATGTGAACTCGCTTTTTCCTTTTTAAAGTTTTTCCCTCCATCAAACACGTTTGTTCTGTTTATGTGTTTGTAGCAAAGAACCCAGGGCTGTTATCCTCTGGCCTGTGCATGTAAGGAGACGAGTGTCGCACTGAAAAGGTCTTTTCACATTGAAAAGCTCCCCCACTTGCCGTAAACAACCACGTTCACAGTTAGGATCCCCAGGATCAGCAAAGCAGCAGGATCAGACTCAGCGGCAAAAGAGGGCATTTGAGTAGACAGGGGTCTGGGCAGTAGAGTCATCATGCATCTCCTCTCCTGGGAGGGAAGCTACCAGCCAGAACCTCCAGGACCTCTCACAGAAAAAGCCACCTGCTTCTCAGTTGCTGCTCAGGGAGGGTGTCTTGGGAGACCTGCTGGCAGGGCTGGTCAGGGGCCCGTGTGAGGAGAAAAAGAAAGAGGAAAAATCACTGCTTTTCGACAGAGCTCAGTGTGCACAGTGGAAAGCAGACTTCCTCATTCATTCATTCTTCTCTCTCCATCAGTCAGTTCACTGCTCTGCTGGCCTCTAGGTTGTACCAGCTGCCCAGGACCTCCTGAGCATAGCTGTAGTCACCTGGGGTTCTCACAACCTTCTTTATGGCTCTCTGCTCACACCAGCTTTTGCAGCTATGGGGTCAGGTGGTGCGGTCTCCATTTCTCTGAGGGAGAGACTGAGGCTCACTGGAGTGCCCTGGCTTGCCCAAGGTCACACATCACCCTGCAGGGCTGAGCTCTACCCAGAGGTCCTGACCATGTGAGCTGTTTCAAGCATCAAGGCTGCAGGGCCAAGTGGAGGGCAGAGCCTGAAGGTCCTAGAGAGGGAGCTTTGTTTCCTGGCCCTCATGTGGACCAAGCATCTAGAGAGGAAGCAGGAGGGGGTCTGGGGGCCACAGGGGATATGGCCTTGTGTGCTACTGTGAAGGCGTCAAGCCCACGCACTCGTTAGGGGCTTTGAGGAGCTTGTGGGTTTGGCTGACGGTGCTCTGTGAGCCCTAAGTCCATGCTAGATAGGACAGCAGCGGCCCTCTTTTCATATGCGAAGAGTAAGGGCCAGAGAGGTCAGAGCTTTCACCTCTGGTCACACAGGCAGACAGGGAAAGCTCAGGCTGGAAACTAGTTCTGCAAATTCTCTGGGCAGGTCTGTTTTGTTGACTTGGGAAGAGCTGGCGATGGCAGGTTGGGTTGCCGTTGAGCCTCCAGCCTCACCCCTTGCCAGCAAGTATGACCCCTGCCCTCCAGGCAGGCATGAGTCAGTGCTATGGACCTTCTGGAAAGGTGGCTGGAAGCAGCTGGAGGGAGCCCCAGAGGTGTCAGTGTTCTGAGGTCACTCTCAGGTCTCAGGGGGCCCAGGGCCCTCGGCCTCACTTACTAGGAGAAGTGGGCACTATCATTTGAGTCCAGAGCTCCAAAAGCAGGCAGGACCAGGAGCTTTGTGGTCCCTCAGGCACCCTGCGACCTTCCCAGGAAGAGGATGGGTGGGGGAAGAGGGCCACACTGAGTCAGCATCACATAAATGGGTGGCGCAGGGGTGGGGAGAAGGGCCTCTGTGCTTGCATTCAGTAATGAGAGTCAGTGGATAAAGGCCCAGATCTGGTACCTGGTGCAGGGGGAGGTGAGGGGGGCCCTGAGGATGCAGGAAGCCCCAGCCTGGGTTTGGGGCAGCCTGAAGGGACAGGTCAGGGTGGGGACCCTCCCCTGCACCCCCACCTCTGTGATTATCACAGTCCCCCGATACCACCCCTTAGAGCTTGTCCTGCCCCAGACAGAAGAGCCTTCTCCTCTTCCAGTCTCCCTCCAACATTAACCAAAGGGAGAGCAAATAGCCAAGGCCTCACACCTGAACGAGGAACCAGACTCAGGCTTCCGAGAAGGGTCCGTCCAGGGGCCTGGAGTCTAGAGCACAGGTGAGGCTCTCTCTCACAGCTCGTCATTCTTAGCACTGGACTTCAGGCCCTAACTGGTAGCGCCTGACAAGGTGTGGCTGCTCCCATGCTGTATTAACAGAGGCAAGGTACGGAGAGTAAGGGAGGTGACCATTCCCCTCCTGCCCCATGCTGGTCAGGCGCACCAGGGCATCACACTCAGAGCCAGGCCCTAGGTAGGGAGAGCAACCTAGCTGGTGAGGGCTCAGACCTGAGTCATCCTCATCTGTTCATGCTGCGGGATTCTTGGGCTGTGGCAGAAAGTACATCCCAGTAGATCCTGGGCCTATGGGCAGCCTGAGCCCCATTTAGGGTTCTGGGAGGGGAGAGCGGAAGGGCAGGCACAGGCAGGAGCCAGTAGCAGATGAGAAAAGTGAGACCCCGAGGAGTTTCACAGCAAGGTTAGACCCTGGCCCACCTGGCTCCAGAGTCCGTGCCCTTGACCGCGGCACTGGCCAGCTCCCCACGAGATCGGCTCGGATGCTCAGACCCCCAGCCCCTGGCAGCACCGGCAAGCCAACGTGGCCATCTCTTAGAAACCACGGAGGGGCGGACGCTGTGGCTCAGAGGGGCTAAGGGCTCCAGCCGTGCACCTGGGCCGGACAGAGCTGGGATTCTGGCTCCGGTGAGGGAGTGGGGTGCTCCCGGCAGAAGTCACAGTTGTGTCTAGAGTGTGGCTGGAGAGAGAGAAGCCCCCCAGCACAGCGGCCTGGGCCAGCCCTGCCCCACCCTTGGGTTCTCACCTTTTGTAATAATCACCCCAGTCCCTGAGCACAGGTGAAGAACAGAGTAAGTTATGTTTACTCTAAAGACGCCCCAAAACGTGTAACTATTGTAGACTCCCTTTATAGTCAGTTAAAATGGCTGGATCTGCAGGTTAAAGTGATACCTTCAATTATCTGGCAGACTTACGTGAAACAGCTGAGTGCCCAGCGAAGGGTGTAGCACGGGCGCTTGCCTCAGGCCCCCGGGACCCTGCTTGGCGCAAGGTTGATAGGATGCAGGGCGCCACTCGGGTCGGCTCCAGGTCTTCCATCAAGCCCCTCACGGAGCATACTTAGGCTAGGTGGAGCTTTCCGCTCCTCTTGCTGCTGCTAACAGACCCCAGCAATCCCCCTTACTTAAGACAGCACAGGCTTATTATCTTCTGTAGGTCAGAAATTTGACCTGGGGCTCACTGGGCTAAATTCAAGATGTGGGCAGGGCTGTTCCCTTCTGAGGGCCCCAGGGGCCAATCCCCTTCGTCGCCTTTCCAGTTTCTAGCGCTGCCCATGTTCCTTGCCCCTCGGCCCCTCCTCCACCTTCAGAGCCAGCAGCCTGCTGTCCCCGACCCGCCCCAGTTCTCACAACTCTGTTTCTGACCATCCCCCTCAGTTATTCTAAAGGACCCCTGTGATCACACTGGGCCCCTCCAGATAATCCAGGCTAATTTCCAGTCTCATGGTCCTTCATTGCATGTGCAGGGTCCCTTCTGCCAGGCAGAGTCATGGTTTCTGGGGATTAGGAGGTGGGCATTTTAATGGTTCATTCTGCTAAGACAGATGGTTACACTTGGGCTGAAGGGACCCTCTGTTAGGGCAGAGCCCACACATGCTGTCTTCACTGGCTGAGCCCCAGGACCATGAGCCTCCTCTGAAACTAGTCCTGGGGATGCACCCCACCCCCTTCCTGAAGGCTCCACTGGCTGCCCCAGCTGTGGGCACTCACCCTTCGGCAGGCAGCCTTGGTGGTGTGTCTTTAGCCCATTCCCTCTGCCCTGGCTCTTCCACCTCACCAGTACTGTTCAGTCTGCTACAGTTGGCAAAGGACTTTCCAGGCAGCTCTCCAGGGAGTGTTCCCACTGCACAGAGGAAGACCCTGAGCCCCGGAGAAGGGAGGCCACATGGCCAGTGAGCAAAGCCTGGGCCAAGGTCCCAGCCCTGTGGACTCCCAAGTCCAGGGCCCCAAGTTAGGAGCAGAACCCGCCTGAGGAACGTGACTGTGCAGGCCCAGCAGCCATTCCAGCCGTGATCTTCCTCCTGTGGGCACTGAATCAGCAGAATGCACAGCTGGCCCATTCCAGGGGTCCCACCACGCCCAGGGCTGCAGCGGGGCCTGAGCTGCAGGCCAGGGACCCCAATCTGAGTTGACCCTCAGCACGAGCTATCTCTGGGCCTTGCACTCTGCACCCTGTTGACTTCAACCTTACAGCCACCCTGAGAGCAGTGCAAGTGCTTTAGAGAAGAGGAACTGGGGGAAAGAAAGGCAGCTGGGAACCCCTCCCCCCGCATGCCTGCGGCTGCTCCTGCCGGCTCCCCGAGCCGCTCCACCTTGTCCAGCGTAGGCCCAACCTTCTCTGCCTCCTCTCCGGATCTGGCTGGGAGCAGGTGCTTGACGATGCTTATGGAGGTTGGAGCAAAGAGGAACAGTGCCTGGCCTGAGAGGACCTTGGGTTCCAGCAGGGACAGACCCCCTGAGCCTTCCCTGTCCCTCCATACCGTAAGAGCCATCTTCATAAGTGTTCCCCAGGCGGGTGCCAGATGGAGGCCGGGACCAGCCCCAGCATCTGTGACTCCCTTGATCAGCAGACACTGCCTGGGCATCTCCGGGGAGACAGGGCCCAGACCTGCAGGAGCCTGGAGGAGAGGGAATAGCTTTGGCCTTGGAGCTGTGCAGCCTGGGTGCCCGTTCCGGCCACTTCGTGGAAGCTAGGCTTGCTCAGGCGAGTTTTTAGCGTCCCTCAAAACTTTTAGAGCGGCACCAGGCACGCAGGAAGCACTAGCTATGCGTCAGCTGTGTGACGTAGTTGGGGCACTGAGGTGCAAAGCACAGAAAGGGAAGCCACCAGGGACCGATTTACAGGTG